GGTCCTCTCCTGTCCCCTCACACACAATGCCAGGGCGAGGCCACATTGAGATCTGTGGGCGGCTTCCCAGGGCTGTGGGCTGCTGAGGTGTCAGGGGGTGGGGTGCGTCCACTCCATGAGGGCACAGGCTCTTCCTAGGGAAGCACTGGGTGCCACCAAGCACAGGTGCCAGCGATTCTCGTGGCTTAGGAGGAATTACTGCTCATGAGCCCAGGGAGGGTCAGAAGAGTGGGTGAGGGTTGGAGGAACAGGGTGAGCCATGAGGTCAGGTGGCCACTCACTAGCCATGGGACGGTGACAACATAGGAGCAGGGTAGCCGCCCTGAACCTATGTTTTCTCCTTGGGGCTTGGAAAAGCACAGATATCTGCTGAGGGCATCACAGTGCTGCCACTAGGATTCAGGGGAGAGACACTGGGACAGCACTGCCCAAGGAGTGCCCTTGTCCACACCTGCTCTATTCACAGGTCTGGGAGGCCTGAGGCCTTGTCAGACGTGACTCCTAGGCCAGCTCCAATGCAGGCTGGTGCTGGCACCAATGAGGAATAGGGGCTCAGAGAGTGTTGGGGGCCACAATCAAGTCAAAACGGCACATGGCAGTTTGCCAGGAGGAGTGGTTTGTGAGGCAATGCCACCGAGCCATTAAGATAGTGGGGATTCCTTATTGGCTGATTGCTGTATGTGGTTGATGCTAATTGAGTCAAGCTGTGTGTAATCAGTTGGGTATCTATACTTCTGCTGTTCCTTAATAAAGCAGTTCCCGCTTCAACCTTAACAAGTTGCTTCCCATCTCTGGGTTATTTTGCCGAGCCGGACTGCAGCAAGAGAGGTCTGACAAGCTCACTGAGGTCACTCAGCTGCTATGTGTTAAGATCCAGGTCTTGGGACACTCACGTGTCACTTCATTCTAGGTGACTGATGACGTTCATATCATTGGAAGTGTATGTGCAGGTTGGAGGTCCCTATGTAGAAACCTAGAGATCCTGTTTCTTCTTCAGGGAGAGTTCAGACCCATTGATAGGTGGTGCCATGTGATGGCAGAGATGTGACTGTTCAGACTGTAAAGAGGAC